TAGATAAACTATCAGCTGAAATGAAGAGCATGGCTGGAATGGAGGGAAACAGACTGTTCTCCTGGTTGGGGGAGTGGTTTGGTAAGTATGCTGCACTGGTGGTTACTGGATTTCTGACCCTAGTAGTTGTGTTTCTAATATTAATGTGCTGTGCTGCCTGTGTAATTCCTTGTTTGAGAAAGTCTGTTACAGATGTCGTGCATACAGCTGGTATGATGCCCCTCCTAGGGGCTCAAGAAGGGGATGCAGACACTGAGATGGGGTTGACAAAGGATGACCCTTGGTTTGCTATTGGTGAGGTGGTGGAGTGACACCCTAGTGGGTGTCTAAAGGGGGCCAAAGTTTACTTCCCTGTTTATGTTTTACGCTTTATTAATCAAGTTAACCATTGTGAATGGGGCGGCAGGTATCTTAGTGGTTAAGAGCGTTGTGCCAGTAACCGAAAGGTCGCTGGTTCTAATCCCCGAGCCGACTAGGTGAAAAATCTGTCGATGTGCCCTTGAGCAAGGCACTTAACCCTAATTGCTCATGTAAGTCGCTCTGGATAAGAGCGTCTGCTAAATGACTAAAAATGTAAATGTAAATTAATGTTTGTCTTTCCTTATGTGAAGGTTTGAAGTTCCTGGGTGGCTGGTAGCCAACCTAGTACAAGTTGGGTGTAGATGGAAGGACTGAAGGCCTTTTTATTATCATTATTGCCTATTAATAAAAAAGTGTGATTCTTTTTGTTTGTTTTGTATTTTAATGAGTGACACCCTAGTGGGTGTCAAAAGGGGGAATCCTAAATTTCCCTGAAATTTCTTATTTTGGCTGATTATTTTCACAGCTGATATAAGCTAGAGGATTTAAGGAGAAGGGGGGAGAGGGGTGAAGTGAAGGAGAGAGACTGTTATTGAGAAAATAAGGTAGTTAAAGTGACAATGTTCAACAGGAATCTGTATGTGTGGTCTCACCTGGTGTCCACACTAAGTGGCTGCAGAGTACTTATACTGAAAAACATGCAGACACATGAGGTCAAACAATACAGCGTAGTTCTATAAATAATGAAGTGTCTTACTATTCTCCATGGCTGGTCCTCTTGCCTATTCTTTGAAGGTGGAAGGAGCCACAGTTATACACCTGAGCCTGCTTACTGCACAACACAATCCATCAATCAGATTGATACACAAGTGTGTAGGTGTGGGTTATAGGGTGTCTAATTGTGCTAAATGTTTTCAATATGGGTGACTCTTAAAAGAGCCTGTTTTGTTTTTGTACAGACATCACCCTTACCTGAGAAGTAGAAATCAAAAGGAGCGAAACTGGGAATTTAATAATTGCAGTTGACATATCTAAGTAAATAGAAAAATACTCTGATATGGGCCCCGTGTAGCTCAGTTGGTAGAGCATGGCGCTTGCAACGCCAGGGTTGTGGGTTCGATTCCCACGGGGGGCCAGTATGGAAAGAAAGAAAAAGAAGGTATGCACTCACTAACTAAGTCGCTCTGGATAAGAGCGTCTGCTAAATGACTAAAATGTAAATGTAATGTGGATGGCTCTTAAAAGAGCATTTGGTTGTGCATAGTGTAGTCTATGGTGTTGCCAGGGAACAGCACCCTCGTCGAAGAAGTAGGAGGTGAAGATATCCCGCACATGGATTGCCTCCCGTGCTGCGTTGTTGGCCCCCATCCTTGAAACATTCTGCAGAGCAGCAGACCTCTCCTCTGGCAAATGGCGGCGAGCTGCAGATCCCCTCCTGGTTCTCATGTTCTCAAGGATAGCCTACACTGAGCTGTTTGGTTCTTAAGTGAAACTGCTAGCATCCTGCTGTGCCCTCTCATGCTTATTTATTTATCTGAGAAAGACTGCATTCAGCTTTTGTCAGAATACTAATGGTTAAGGGCAGACATAAAAAAAAACAAATAGTTAAGATCTCAATTCCCAAATTCCTTTTGGTAAATGTCCTGGAACGTCTTTGTGCGGTTGATAGAAATCTGGGAGTAAACATGCCAACAGTGACCCGAACTCCAACTAGCACCACAACCACATTCTGCTGCTGCAGACAGCAGCCATGTTGTTCCTGAAAGATGTTTACATGTCGCCTAGTCCCAGATCTGTTTGCGCCGTCTTGCCAACTCCTATGCTCATTGCCATTATGTTGCATGACAATGACTATAGGAGTTGGCAAGACAGACAGCACAAACCAATCTGGGATCAGGCTAGTTTACATGTAATGTGGGGTTAATACAGAGAAAGAAAGACATGGCCCTCTTTCATTTCATTATTAGTGGAGCTTGGGAAGCCTGTGAGAGACATATGCAGATACAAAACACTATTGACAATGATCATGAGACTGTGGTGCCAAAACTGATATACACACAACAGTCTATACAAATGATCCAGCATTTTTCAGGATTAGAAATAATAGTGAGATTTGTCGATGAGTTGATCATCATACCAGGTTGATGGAGTGTGCTCTGATGTGCTTCAGGATTAGAGAGGAGGCCATTGAGATGCTCCATTCTACGTTGGGGTCGTCTGGCAGTTATCTGAAAGATGAAGAGGGGAAAACGTTAGAGTTACACTGGGGCTCTGGTTGAAAGTACGAACAAATATGAAAATGTATGCACTCACAACTGTAAGTCGCTCTGGATAAGAGCGTCTGCTAAATGACTAAAATGTCAAAATGTCCATCCTCATGAACTTATGCAGGACACAGGTAGCCTTCACACACCTGAATTCCTCCAGGAGGCAGTCCCAGATGGCCCTGGTTACCCAACCTTGAAGTGCCCTACACGGTAACTGTAGGCAATCGTTTTGAAGGAACTCCAGTTACAAGGTATCTGTAGGAATATGGAAGATAATGTCATTATTAGACTTTTACATCACCAGGTCATTGTGGATTACTAAAGTGTAATTTCCCTTATAACAAATCATGATAACATTGGATAGATATGTGCATGTGTGACAATAGCAGGATCATATCAAGGATAGCGTCACAACTGAATACATAAATACCACTTGAAGCTTGATGACTTGATCATTTAAATCAGCTGTGTAGTGATAAGGCAAAAACAAAAATGTGCACCCCTTTGAGTCCCCAGGACCACGACTGAGGACCACTGCTCTGCATTGGGACCTCTTCATCTGCAGACAGGCTTTCACATCTCTCTGTATCTGAGGACAGAAAACCACACAAGAAACAGACTAAATTATACTCAAATTAGACAGCACTGAGTATTATGTTCTCTGTCCTCACTTCTAGGGACTGGAACTACACAAGTATCTGCCCTATCCAGAATAGCCTACTCTCTCACTTTGACAGATGGGGCTGCTATCCTTTCACCCTCCTCCATGGCTGTTAGCTAGCTACCTACAAATGCATTTGGAGTTTGTTTTTTACAGTGATAAATATATCAAGATAGCTAGCTAATATGAAGTTAGGTAGCTGGTCAAATGTAATTCACTTAGCTAGCTATCTATACAGTATGTTAAGTTGGCTAGATAACTAGTTAACGTTAGCAGCTCATTTGAGTTAGCCTGCACTGTTGCTCGATAGCTAATAATACATAGTTTTTTTTTTTTACATTTTCGAAATGTATTTACTTACTTGAATAGGTTCTCCCAGCCATGTGGACCATTAGAAACAGGGCAGCACAGTTTGGTTGTTACCAGAGCGGTTTAGAGCATATTACTATTTACCTGTGAATAACCAGACCTTCATACAAACATGCTATGCTGAACTCTTGAAGCACAATCGAAAATGCTGCCAGCACGCCCACAAGCGAGTCATTCTGGGCGGCTGAAGCGGCAATTTACCGCGTGCTAGTGTACACTGGGCATGACTTTTTCAACGCCGCCCAACGGTACCCCGCCCTCTCCGTATCTCACCGCTTTCCTTCCATTGAAAATGAATGGGAAGCGGTGTTTCACCATGCGGCATCGTGTGCAAATGTACACGGGGCAGTATTGGAGTGATCAAATATAGTGTTACATAACAGTAGTTGCTACTTGATTGCCACAAGATCATAACGTTTAACAAGTTACAGTTGTCTAATGTTACTCGTTTTAGTGTAGAAGGGTTGTTATAACATTTTGAAAATGTGTGTGATGATTTATGCACCCTATTCATGATGTTAGCGGCAAACGATGTCCTAACGCCGAAGGTTTGTGCTAGCTAGCTACTGTGTGTGTGTGTGTTTGATTATCCCGGAAGTGCTGGCTGGGACCGAAAGGCTGGAGCGGTCCTATGTAAAACAATAGATCATGATTCGTTCCATTCGAAACGGGGATATCCAACCAGCGTAGGGTGCCGCCTTGAAGTCTGAGGGCAAAGCCCCTTCGTTCGTTATCGTCGCTTCCTAGGGCGGGCTGGCTCGCTCCCGCCTATCCTTTCTTTGGATTACTGTATACATCTCATTATTGTAATAATTTTTTTAGAATTCGATAAGGGTTGTTGACGTCAACTGCAGGTATTAAATGGAAATATATGATATGCTACGAGCCTCTTGACTTGACTGTGCATAGCCATCTTCAGACAACTCCAATATAAAGTGTTTTTTTTTTTCTCAAAGTTGCCGGGATGTCATGTGTCCTACTCATATCAGTACAATCGTAACAATTTAAGCATTACGAAACTTATATTTGATCAAGTAAACTTCACGTAGCAAATAAGCCATTCATTTTATTTTATTTTTTGCCAAATTCGACACGCTCATTGACCTCCATACAAAAAGTCGTTGCTTTGGTGGGCGAAACAACGTTGAGCCTCGCTTACTCTCTGGCTTCGTGCAACACATCAGAGCAGCCGTTCCTGACTCTCAAGTCAATGACGTAGTGAGGCTGGTGTCAGCAAGATTACCATAAATATAGAAACGTATAAAATATATTGATGATATCCTATCAATGAGATCACATAGCACTTTGTTTTTACCGCGGGCTTTTATTTTGTAGGCGGAATTCGAAAACAAATATTGCCAGCTGTTACAAAAAAAAATAATCAGTTCTACTTCCCGGATAGGTTGGAATGGTCCTGTCCTGTCCAATGAGAACATAAGTGATATTTTTGATTCTCAGCCGGTTAGCCACGTTGCAAGTCTGTGCTACGAGTTCGTTTGCTTACTAGCTAACTAACTTACCAGTTTGTATTTTTCCCTAGCTACTTAATCAAAAACCCTAGGTACTTTCGTTGGCAAAACTTGCACTAGCTAAGACGATGGTAAGTTGGTTAAAACGTTTCATTTTTGTGTTAGCTATACTGTTGCTAACGTTAGCAAGCCATCTTATGTTAGCCAGAGCCAAAGGCTCTGACGTTAGGTAGCTAACTACACAACACAGTTAACTAGTTGTGGCAAAGATACTAGCTAATAACTAACCCAGGGGTGTATTCATTATGCTGATTAGGTTACAAAACGTTAATTAAACGGGGAGGGACCCTAGAGACTGAGTCCTCTCGAGGCCGTAAGGAAGTATTAGCATGAGCTTCAACCATTTGAATGTAGTCAACTTAATCGGTAAACGGTTTCCGTAATGAATACACCCCTGTTTATCTGTGTGGCGTGCTTTTTCACTGTTTTCTAGCTTGCTGTATTGATTGGTTTGACTTTATCGTTACAATGAATTTCTCAATTCTTTCTCACTTTTGTAAACTAGTTTAAGCTAGGCTATAGTTGGCTAGCTAGTTTTGCTAAAGTTAATACGATGTAACCAAGGAATATGGAAACCAGGGAAAACATTGGTGAGGTAGGCAGGATACAAGTGATTCTTAACGAAATCTAATCAATAAAATGGTCCATTGGAGGAAGGACTGTTGGCATATATTTGACATTTGTATCTTAAAGCATAGCTAATTGAGAAATAATTAGTTTTAGTTGGAATATTTGTGACACTTTGGCCTTGCCCAGGCCTCCCTTTCAGAGGGATTTTAAACACTAGGCTTTCGAACACTAGCTAACTATTACTGTAAATCGCCATATTGGCATTATTGCATAATCGGCAGGATTTCCCAAAAATGGCTGAATCACAAAACTTAACTGTCTGAAAGAACATGAATTCTGCGTGCATTAGTGAACGTAATTTGCTTGTGTCAAACCATATATGAACACATGAAACATTTTGAAATCTGAGAAACAGCCCTTTCAAATGATATGACATACAATAGCACCACATCAATCAAATGGTAATCAGTCATGTGAAAATGTGTATCTTCTATGAAAATCAACACTTTTTGCCCAAATAACTGCCATTTACAAACATTTTCCTAGTGAAGATAGAAAAAAACCTAGAGCATATAGAATCCTCCTTATTTTGTAAGGATTGAAAGTCTGAAATCAGAATATTAATATGTTTTACTGTGAATGAGTTGGGCTACAGCCTTTTTAGTGCAAGGTGGTATTTTTCTAGAATTCAATGGAATGTTCCGTTATCAGACACTTTCTTATCTGGATAGTATATTAAGCACATGCACCAAAACATAGAACAAATGTCATTTAGTCTTAGCCTACATATGAAAAGGAAAGACCTACACGAGTAACATAATATGAATAAATCGAAACTTTTATGGAAAACAATGTGCAAGTTACATTTATATATTATATACCACATTCATTGCCGTGATATTGTCATTAACATTTTATTGGAATTACAAAATATAAGAATAAGGCATATAATAACAAAAATTGTCTTGTACAACTTGAATTTCTTCTGTACATACATTCCAGTAGGCCTATAGCCTAATACAATAAGAGTCAGAATGGGAAAAAATTAAAAGCATGCAAGGGAGGCAAATTACCAGTGACAATCTGAGCCACTGGGTGAAGACCAGGGGTGAAAGGCGACCCAGCAAAATAAATAGTCGGGGTCCTCTGTAGCTAATAATAATAAATAATAATATGCCATTTAGCAGACGCTTTTATCCAAAGCGACTTACAGTCATGCGTGCATACATTGTTGTGTATGGGTGGTCCCGGGGATCGAACCCACTACCTTGGCGTTACAAGCGCCGTGCTCTACCAGCTGAGCTACAGAGGACCACTCAATTGGTAGAGCATGGCGCTTGTAACGCCAGGGTAGTGGGTTCGATCCCCGGGACCACCCATACGTAAAAATGTATGCACACATGACTGTAAGTCGCTTTGGATAAAAGCGTCTGCAAAATGGCTTATTATTATTATTATTATTATTATGTTCTCCCGAGTGGCGCAGTGGTCTAAGGCACTGCATCGCAGTGCGAGCTGTGCCTCTAGAGATACTGGTTTGAATCCAGGCTCTGTCGTAGCCGGCCGCGACCGGGAGACCCATGGGGCGGCGCACAATTGGCCCAGCGTCGTCCAGGGAAGGGAATGGCTGGGCAATAGGCCTTAATCTATGGATTTCACATAACTGGGAATAACGTTACAGATATGCATCTGTTGGTCACAGATACCTTTAAAAAAAGGTAGGGATGGGGATCAGAGAACCAGTCCGTATCTGGTGTGACCGCCATTTGCCTCATTTAGCGTGACACATCTCCTTCGCATAGAGTTGATCAGACTGTTGATTGTGGCCTGTGGAATGTTGTCCCACTCCTCTTCAATGGCTGTGCAAAGTTGCTGGATATTGGCGTGAACTGGAACATGCTGTCGAACCAGAGCATCCAAAACATGCTCAATGGGTGACATGTCTGAGTATACAGGCCATGGAAGAACTGGGACATTTTCAGCTTCCAAGAATTGTGTACAGATCCTTATCATGCTGAAACATGAGGTGATGGCGGCGGATGAATGGCACAACAATGGGCCTCAGGATCTTGTCACGGTATCTCTGTGCATTCAAATTGCCATCGATAAAATTCAATTGTGTTCATTGTCCGTAGCTTATGCCTGCCCATACCATAACTCCACCGCCACCATGGGGCACTCTGTTCACTACATTGACATCAGCAAACCGCTCGCCCACATGACACCATACACACTGTCTGCCATCTGCCCGATACATTTGAAACTGGTATTCATCTGTGAAGAGCACACACTTCTCCAACGTGCTAGTGGCCATCGAAGGTGAGCATTTGCCTACAGAAGTCGGTTACAACGCCAACCTGCAGTCAGGTCAAGACCCTGGTGAGGGCGACAAGCACGCAGATGAGCTTCCCTGAGACGGTGTCTGACCGTGTGTGCAGAAATTCTTCGGATGTGCAAACCCACAGTTTCATCAGCTGTCCGGTTGGCTGGTCTCAGACCATCCAACAGATGAAGAAGCCGGATGTGGAGCTCCTGGACTGGCGTGAGTACACTTGGTCTGCGGTTGGTGAGGTCGGTTGGACGTACTGCCAAATTCTCTAAAACGATGTTGGAGGCGGCTTATGGTAGAGAAATTAACATTACATTATCTGGCAACAGCTCTGGTGGACATTCCTGCAGTTAACATTCCAATTGCACGCTCCCTCAAAACTCGAGACATCTGTGGCAAATTTTAGTGGCCATTTATTGTCCCCAGCACAAGGTGCACCTGTTTTAATGATCATGCTGTTTAATCAGCTTCTTGATATGCCACACCTGTCAGGTGGATGGATTATCTTGGCAAAGGAGAAATGCTCACTATCAGGGATGTAAAACACATTTAAAGAAATAAGCTTTTTGTGCGTATGGAAAATTTCTGGGATCTTTTCAGCTCATGAGACATGGGACCAACACTTTACATGTTGTTTATTTTTGTTCAGTATATTATAATTACGAACATATAAACACATTTTATACTGTTTCTTACCTTTTAATGTTGTTCTAATCTCAATGGCAGCGCTGTCAAAGTTGTGGTGGCAGCATTCACTTTGTCGTGACTTACTTGAATGTATGACTGTTATTTATCGAATCAACTAACTATGTTTAATTGTCACTCGATTTTAAATTAATAATGTAACAATTAACTCATTAGGAATTTGGGGCACCACGGAAGAAGTTGTCTAACGAGTTACCATCTCCCAAATTAAATATGTGTTATACACTGCTCAAAAAAATAAAGGGAACACTTAAACAACACAATGTAACGCCAAGTCAATCACACTTCTGTGAAATCAAACTGTCCACTTAGGAAGCAACACTGATTGACAATACATTTCACATGCTGTTGTGCAAATGGAATAGACAACAGGTGGAAATTATAGGCAATTAGCAAGACACCCCCAATAAAGGAGTGGTTCTGCAGGTGGTGACCACAGACCACTTCTCAGTTCCTATGCTTCCTGGCTGATGTTTTGGTCACTTTTGAATGCTGGCGGTGCTTTCACTCTAGTGGTAGCATGAGACGGAGTCTACAACCCACACAAGTGGCTCAGGTAGTGCAGCTCATCCAGGATGGCACATCAATGCGAGCTGTGGCAAGAAGGTTTGCTGTGTCTGTCAGCGTAGTGTCCAGAGCATGGAGGCGCTACCAGGAGACAGGCCAGTACATCAGGAGACGTGGAGGAGGCCGTAGGAGGGCAACAACCCAGCAGCAGGACTGCTACCTCCGCCTTTGTGCAAGGAGGAGCTGGAGGAGCGCTGCCAGAGCCCTGCAAAATGACCTCCAGCAGGCCACAAATGTGCATGTGTCTGCTCAAATGGTCAGAAACAGACTCTGAGGGCCCGACGTTTGCCAGAGAACACCAAGATTGGCAAATTCGCCACTGGCGCCCTGTGCTCTTCACAGATGAAAGCAGGTTCACATTGAGCACGTGACAGACGTAACAGAGTCTGGAGACGCCGTGGAGAACGTTCTGCTGCCTGCAACATCCTCCAGCATGACCGGTTTGGCGGTGGGTCAGTCATGGTGTGGGGTGGCATTTCTTTGGGGGGCCGCACAGCCCTCCATGTGCTCGCCAGAGGTAGCCTGACTGCCATTAGGTACCGAGATGAGATCCTCAGACCCCTTGTGAGACCATATGCTGGTGCGGTTGGCCCTGGGTTCCTGCTAATGCAAGACAATGCTAGACTTCATGTGGCTGGAGTGTGTCAGCAGTTCCTGCAAGAGGAAGGCATTGATGCTATGGACCGCCCGTTCCCCAGACCTGAATCCAATTGAGCACATCTAGGACATCATGTCTCGCTCCATCCACCAATGCCACGTTGCACGACAGACTGTCCAGGAGTTGGCAGATGCTTTAGTCCAGGTCTGGGAGGAGATCCCTCAGGAGACCATCCGCCACCTCATCAGGAGCATGCCCAGGCGTTGTAGGGAGGTCATACAGGCACGTGGAGGCCACACACACTACTGAGCCTCATTTTGACTTGTTTTAAGGACATTACATCAAAGTTGGATCAGCCTGTAGTGTGGTTTTCCACTTTAATTTTGAGGGTGACTCCAAATCCAGACCTCCATGGGTTGATACATTTGATTTCCATTGATCATTTGTGTGTGATTTTGTTGTCAGCACATTCAACTATGTAAAGAAAAAAGTATTTAATAAGATTATTTCATTCATTCAGATCTAGGATGTGTTATTTTAGTGTTCCCTTAATTTTTTTGAGCAGTGTACATCGATAAGTCACTTATTAAATAATTACATCTTATAAGTCTCATTCTGAATGTCGCATAATCCTTGAACCTGCAAGAACCCTAACCTTATTGATGAATCAGAAATACACACATTGGCTTCATTATTTACTAACTAAATAATAACAAATACAAACACACATGTTATTGATTACTAACGTAATAGAATGAAAACAGGTCCCTAGTGGACTGGACTAACAATAGCATGAATGCTTGGAAGGGAGAGACAGAGATTCAAACTATTGTTGTTACTTTTGTAAACTACGCTCACGGAAATACAAATACTTAGCACCCGCTCAATGGGATTAGTTGACTTTCCTCGATAGTTGAGTTGATGATGTAGGACTCTGGTTTGCCCACCAGAGATCCCAATGTCCTTGGTAGAGTTTTTGGTGGTAGTGGTGGTGAGAATGGATACTACAGCGTACCCTGTTGATCTGTTAGAATAGGTACTTCAGATGTACCAGCGGTTGTCGGAGAGGGATTGTCCTTCCCAACTCGTGTCTTTAGTGAAAGTTCTCTATACGACTATACATGCCAGCTGCAGACTGGTAATGCTAAGGTCTAGTGAATTGTCTTCTTCTTCACCTCGTGTAAAGGTTGAGAGTTTCAGAGTTTCACCGCTTTGTAACGTTTAGCTCACGCTTCACGTCTGCTGGTCTGTAGAGTGTCAACCATTTGCAACATCCGGCTAACACAGTAATCTGCTTGGTCTGAGGTGAATTTCGTCACGAGGGGTTTTATACTTGAGTAGAAAAAGGGGCGTTTCATCATGTTTGTGCTCATCTGGGCGTGGCCACTGACTGAGAACAAATCAATATGGAAACAGTCATCTCATCTAGAATGCTAAAATCACATTGTTATCTTCACAAAAGTATTATTATACTTAATCATTCATTTTATACAATTAGATGCAACTGAGAAGTGTACACCCCCAGAGATGCAGTTATGTTGTTCCACCGTCTTTATTGACATCACAACGTAGTAACGGATTTGACATGATTGTTCTTTAAGTCCCCACCGACCATTTCCCACATTCATTTAAGTAGGAATATTGTTTCATTATCCACTTTTGGATGTTGGAGTCTTGGCGGGTAGACTTTCTTTGTTCCAAAGGGAAATTCCCTCTCCCAATACTGCATGGCACGGAAAATAAAGTTTCCGCAAGGAATTTACAACCGGTCATAGAACTGGCCCCCAGGAGATGGGGTGTTCAAACATTTGCCTAGCCGGCATCTTTGATCCTCAGCCCATGAGGGCAAGTGATGAAAACAAAATGCTACTCTTATTACAGAGCAAGCGGTGAAGCTTCATATGACACCTACAGATGAAACATTTATAGCGTCTTAAGGGATTATTTCAAAAATATGCTTTTAGATATAAATGTCATATGTCAACAATCCTTCCCCCAAAGGGCCATTCTGTGGATTCATTGTTGTGAGAGAAAAAAAATCTAGGTATTTTTTTCTGATTTCGTGATGAATTATCCCTATAGACCCTACATTTAGGCCCTGTTGTTCCAAATTGGGCCTATCCTATATTATCGTTGAACTCAAATATTCAGTTATTTTACCTAGTCATAGCCGCTGCCATTGCCTGTTAGGCTTATCTAATTTTGTTTGTACATTGATTTGACTATGGGAATTTCAATTTCATCCCTACAGGCCACTGACAAGGAGAATCTGAACCTCACTGCCAATGATCTCTGGGATCACACACATGATCCTGCTTTGAAGCAGAAAGCACGGAATCTGCCCCCTGGCTCTGTGGAGCAAAGAAGTCCCCTAAGAGACACCAGCAGCGTCAATCAGTCCCATTCCACCAACGTCAGGCCTATTGATGCTAAATTAAGCAACCAGTTTGCAGGGAAGTTCCCATTCATTCAGTCTGAAAGCAGCCAAGAGATGACCAGTCAGACAGATCAACTGAATTGTCCACCACCATCCACCATGAGTGCCCCCGGGCCAAATACAGATGGCCCCTGTATGTCGCTCCATATGGAGACTCTGCCAGACTCTAGTGTTATAAGTGGAGAAACTTCACCTCTTTCAGACAGCTGTCATTCATCTACCCCATCACAGCACAGTGGTATCAGTGGGGAGCCCAGAGCCAAGCGGTGGTCCTCTAACCCAACAACCATGCTCACCCCTATTTTAAAACACATCCATCTGGGATTCAACGGGCAGAAGTCCTACTCCCCAATTTTGAGTCCCATGCATGCCTCAAAGACCTGGATGATTCAAGATGAAACTTTACCAAACTGCACTGGAGAAAGTTTCTTTGAGGACACTATAGACTTCTGCGTTTTGCCTGTGGTGGAGCCCACCGTTGGCAGCACAACAATGGACTTGTCACACACACCTCCAGGGACTCGTGTTTCTATGGAAGAGAGTTTCAATACACCAGAGGATGGACATAAAGATTTGCAAAGGGGCTCTAATTTTAGTCTCAGTTTGCAGGGAAGTCCTGCACCAAACGCTCTCAGGGAGACTATATCAATCAATGGCTCTAGCTGTTCCAGCGCTTCCCTGGAGGGCACGCATGACGTATCTGCATTAGAGGGCAACAAAGAAAGTCTGCATTCCTTAGAACATAAGGTACAGAACCTGACTACCAAGGTTCCTGTGTCTGCTGTTGTCCAAAATTCAAGTGTTGCCTCTGACTGTCTCACAGATGCTAATGTCACCCACGTAATTTGCCCTGATGGTGAGGTGCCTGCGTCCTGTACAGTGCCATTGTCCTCGTCAACATCTGGTGCTTTGTTTGACTCGGAGTGTGATGACAAGATGGTGAACTCTAACAATGGCACCTTTGAACTTCTGGTTGAACCAACACTGGAGCCCAAAACTGGGACCAACTCCACTATGGTCCTTCCCGAGCCCAATGTCACAACTACTGCGCTGGAGTCTGTGGAGATCAGTAGGCCCCTGAATGTTACTTTTGAAGCTTGCCCTCCTATGAAGTTCAATGCAACCACTGAGCAAGAGACCTGTGATGGTACCACACAACCTCTGAACAATACTTTTCAAACTGACCCTTGTTTGAAGCTCAATGCAACCACTGAGCAAGTGACCAGTGTTGGCAATGCACACCCTCTGAGCAACAATTTTCAAACTGACCCCGAACCAACAAAAAGCTCTGAAGTCGATGTCAGTGAACACACGGTACAATCCCAACCAGGCCCGTCTGGGAGAGATCGGTGCTCTGACAGTCTTTGTAATCAAAGTGTTGATTTGGAGAACAAAATAAGTGACACCTTCACCTTGGACAACACCCTTGAGTTGGATCCCAACTTGCTGGTCACATCCACTCCCATGGTTACGTCTAAGGCTTTTAGGAAACCAGAGAGACCCTCGGATGTGCGGAAAAGGTTATCTCCGGGCTTCCTGCCAAAACCAGCCAAACCACCAGCTATCTCTAAACTTGTCACTAATAGGAAGACGTTCCTTCAGCCCCCGAGTGTCACCTCCAATCCCAAATCACTGCTACCCCCACCGAGATCTGTGTCCCAGCTTCCGTCGCTGACTGGCCTGCCAAAGACCAAGCCAGCCCCTGTGGCTTTAGCCCCCTCGAAGCCATCCTCCTCTGCCATACCCAGCACCAGACGAAAAACACTAGCAGATGCCTCGGGACATGCTGCAGTCACTGTTTCTCAGCAGGTAGGCTATTGGGAATGCTAAGTGTGGTTACATCTCAACAGGATATTATATTAATGTATTTTTTAAATGAATATTAAGGCGATATTTATCAGTTTGAGATGATCCTCTACCAATCCATCCACTGTATTTAGTTAAGAGATGCAACATTGAATCAACAGACTGTACAAAGCTATTCAGTCAATGTTTTTTCCTCCATTTCTCTCCTAGGCCTCAACAGATAATACTTCCAGTAGTAGGCGTAGCACAATTCCAGGTGAGCAGCTGTTCCAGTTCCTTTGAATCTGTCGGGTATGTATGGCTCTGTCTCAAAGTTTAAACCTTTCATCGTATCCTATCCTCTGCAGATTTCTGATCTGGCAGGACATGGCAGGGGAAAGCAATATAGTGGAAACTTATCTTTTCCTTTTACCCCTGTGTTCACAAAGAAAAGGAGATAAGGAGAAGAAGCCATTTTAGAGTACTGAGCCTAAAGGGAATCTCAATCATACTTCCCGCATTCCTTAAATCCTCTCTCCTCGCCTCCTTCTCAAACGCATTTGATGAAAATGTTCTTGGGGAGGAAATTATGCGAAGAATCAAGAGATACAATTAAGATTGACGTCTTTTGGTAGACCATCACGCTCTTCCAAAAAAGTTTGGTTGGTGTGTAAAACCGAAGAATCTAGATTAGCAAAAATGGAAAGGTTCCGCATAAAGCTCACTTAATTTAAATATATATATATACACACACACAGTGCATTCGGAAAGTATTCAGACCCCTTGACTTTTTCAACGTTTTGTTACGTTACAGCCTTATTCTAAAATGTACTAAATTGTTTTTTCCCCCCACACACAAGCAAAAACAGGTTTTTAGAAATGTTTGTTAAAAAAATAAAATAATGAAATCACATTTACACAAGTATTCAGACCCTTTTCTCAGTACTTTGTTGAAGCACCTTTAGCAGCGATTACAGCTTTGAGTCTTCTTGGGTATGACGCTACAAGCTTGGCACACCTGTATTTGGGGAGTTTCTCCCATTCTTCTCTGCAGATCCTCTCAAGCTCTGTCAGGTTGGATGGGGAGCATCGCTGCACAGCTATTTTCAGGTCTCTCCAGAGATGTTCAAGGCTGGGCTCTGGCTGGGCCATTCCTGCGTTGTCTTGGCTGTGTGCTTAGGGTTTTTGTCCTATTGGAAGGTGAACCTTTGCCCCAGTCTGAGGTCTTGAGCGCTCTGGAGCAGGTTTTCAACAAGGATCTCTGTACTTTGCTCCATTCATCTTTCCCTAGATCCTGACTAGTCTCCCAGTCCATGCCGCTGAAAAACATCCCCACAGCATGATGCTGCCACCACCACGCTTCACCGTAGGGATGGTGCCAGGTTTTCTCCAGACGTGACGCTTGGCATTCAGGCCAAATAGTTCAATCTTGGTTTCATCAGACCAGAGAATCTTGTTTCTCATGGTCAGAGTCCTTTAGGTGCCTTTTGGCAAACTCCAAGCACGCTTTCATGTGCCTTTTTACTGAGGAGTGGCTTCTGTCTGGCCACTCTACCATAAAGGCCTGATTGGTGGAGTTCTGCAGAGATGGTAGGCCTTCTGGAAGGTTCTCCCATCTCCACAGAGGAACTCGGGAGCTCTGTCAGAGTGACCATCGAGTTCTTGGTCACCTCCCTGACCAAGGCCCTTCTCCCCCGATTGCTCAGTTTGGCCGGGCGGCCAGCACTACGAAGAGTCTTAGTGGTTCCATACTTCTTCCATTTAAGAATGATGGAGGCCACTGTGTTCTTGGGGACCTTAAATGCTGCAGAAATGTTTTGGTACCCTTCCCCAGATCTGTGCCTCGACACAATCCTGTCTCAGAGCTCTACGGACAATTCCTTCGAGCTCATTTCTTGGTTTTTGCTCTGACTTGCCCTGTCAACTGTGGGACCTTATATATCGACAGGTGTGTGCCTTTCCAAATCATGTCCAATCAATTGAATTTACCACGGCTGTACTCCAATCAAGTTGTAGAAACATCTCATGGATGCTCAATGGAAACAGGATGCATCCCGATCTCAATTTCGAGTCTCAGAGCAAAGGGTCTGAATACTTATGTAAATAAGGTATTTTTTACAAGGCTGTAACGTAACAAAATGTGGAAATAGGGAAGGGGTCTGAATACTTTCTGAATGCACTGTATTATTATTTTTTCACTGCATCAGGGATAGTATGTATAGACAGATGTTTCAGCATAACTGCAGTGTCACTTCTTCCAGTGTCACTTTTTCCCAGTGTCACTTCTTCACGGGGCACCATAGCCAAGTTATTGTTACTCATTGTGTATTTATTATTACTTTTATTATTACATGTTTTACTTTTATATACGTTTTCTATTTTCTTTCTCTCTGCATTGTTAGGAAGGGCCTGTAAGTAAGCATTAAACTGTTAGTCTACACCTGTTGTTTACGAAGCATGTGACAAATACAATTCGTTTTGATTCCCTCAGTCGTTGCCTCTAATTTACTGTTGAATTTATAGCATCCAAGCTGACAAGCACTGGCCTGAGGAAACCTCAATTCTCTTGCACTCAGAGATCCATACCAAGCCTCAGGACTCCTGCAGTAAGAGCTATGGCAACACGCTCCACTGAAAACCCCAGCCTCTCTGCAGGTATGTACAGCATTGTATGAAAGAGCTTGATCCCATAGCTTCATGTATACTGCATTCGGGAAGTATTCAGACCCCTTGACTTTTTCCATATTTTGTTGCATTACAGCCTTATTCTAAAATTGATTAATTTATTTTTCAACGTACACACAACACAATACATAATGACAAAGCGAAAACAGGTTAATTTATTTAAAATAAACTGAAATACCTTATTTAAATAAGTATTCAGACCCTTTGCTATCAGTCTTGAAATTGAGCTCAGGTGCATCCTGTTTCCATTGATCATCCTTGAGATTTTTCTACAACTTGGAGTCCACCTGTGGTAAATTTAAATTGATTGGACATGATTTGGAAAGGCACACACCTGTCTATATAAGGTCCCACAGTTGACAGGGCATGTCAGAGCAAAAACCAAACCATGAGGTCGAAGGAATTGTCCTTAGATCTCCAAGACAGGATTGTGTTGAAACACAGATCTGGGGAAGGATACAAAAAAATGTCTGCAGCATTGAAGGTCCCCAAGAACACAGTGGCCTCCATCATTCTTAAATGGAAGAAGTTTAGACCACCAAGACTCTTCCTTGAGCTGGCCGCCCGGCCAAACTGAGCAATCGGAGAAGGGCGGCCTTGGTCAGGGAGGTGACCAAGAACCCAATGGTCACTCTGACAGAGCTCCAGAGTTTCTCTGTGGAGATGGGAGAACCTTCCAATAGGACAACCATCTCTGCAGCACTCCACCAATCAGGCCTTTATGGTAGAGTGGCCAGACAGAAGCCACTCCTTAGTAAAGGCACATGACAGCCCGCTTGGAGTTTGCCAAAAGGCACCTAAAGGACTCTCAGACCATGAGAAACAAGATTTTCTGCTATGACGAATCCAAGATTCAACTCTTTGGCCTAAATGCCAAGCGTCACGTCTGGAGGAAACCTGGCTCCATCCCTACGGTGAAGCATGGTGGTGGCAGCATCATGCTGTGGGGATGATTTTCAGCATCAGGGACTGGGAGACTAGTCAGGATCTAGGGAAAGATGAACGAAGCAAAATACAGAGAGATCCTTGATGAAAACCTGCTCCAGAGTGCTCAGGACCTCAGACTGGGGGCGAAGGTTCACCTTCCAATAGGACAAGGACACAGCCAAGACAACGCAGGAGTGGCCCACCCAGAGCCCAGCCTTGAACATCTCTGGAGAGACCTGAAAATAGCTGTGCAGCGATGCTCCCCATCCAACCTGACAGAGCTTGAGAGGATATGCAGAGAAGAATGGGAGAAACTCCCCAAATACAGGTGTGCCAAGCTTGTACCGTCATACCAAAGAAGACTCGAGGCTATGATTGCTGCCAAATGTGCTTCAACAAAGTACTGAGTAGAGGGTCTGAATACTTATGTAAATGTGATATTTCAGTTTATTTATTTTTATAAATTTGCAAACATTTTGAAAACCTGTTGTTGCTTTGTCATAATGGGGTGTTGTGTGTAGATTGATGAGGGGACAAAACAATTTAATCAATTTTAGAATAAGACTAACGTAACTGTGGAAAAAGTCAAGGGGTCTGAATACTTTACAAATGTGCTGTAAGTTGCCATATGATCTGTTAATGGAAGGATACTGCTTTGTTTTTCTATCATGCATGTCTGAATTGCATAGCCTAAACAGTACATTCATTACTTTTGAATATTCCACCTGTAAGTTTTAACCCAGTTATTTGTTGCCAACGTTTCCATATCAGCCAAATCGCTGACAAGGTTGTTTTCTGTCATTACTTTCCATAATTTGTTTAACTAATCTTCAATTTTATCACAGGTGTAAATGGAAGGAGTTTACAAGCACCCAACCAAGGCCAGAAGCACTTGTCAACCAGCAGTGATGCTTTTCCAGTAGCAAAGAGGAAAAAACAGGGTAATTATTAAAGCTAGATGGATTTGCATTGTTTATATTGTGTGTGTATGTTTGTAAAGGAATAACTGTGATCACAAGTAGGGCTGTGACGGTCCTGGAATTTTGAATGACTGTAATTGGCCAGCCAAATGACCGCGGTCACCGTAATAACCATTCGTATAGCATTTTTTTTTATAAATGCACCCTTTCTCCTCTCCTCTGCTTTGTTTCTGACTGCATGTGCTGCCATTCAAATAGAATGAATAAAACGGACATCCCCATTCAAGTCAATTGTGGCATAATGGGTGGACTGGCGGCCATTGCGAGTGTACCCATAGGAGTAAAGCAGGAAGTAAAATATGTGCTGTGATTTGTTGATTCAACTCAACTGACATTACAAAAAATACATTCCATTGCATGAGGTAACATCATTTGAATGAACATTCTACATTATCATGGAAATTATTGCATCACAATACCAGGTAGCCATTGTACCCATGAGTTTACCAGACAAATTGCCAGTGTTAGAGGTTCCAATCCCATTCTATTCATTCTATTTCAATGTGTGCTGCTGCTGCATTGTGGGGGGAGTTGCCTAGGCAACTGAAGACATGTTTGCTTGTTTCAGCAAGGAGCAACAACGTTTCATCATATTGTTAAGAGTCCATGTTACGGCAGAAACTGACTCAACCCCACGAATGCCCAGCCGTCCAGTCTTCAGGCAGCTGTTCTTTCCACACACACCAAAAATGTTTAACTGTTTTGATGGTTTTTATTTTTATGACTGTCTTCATCCATAACTGTTGGTTATAAGGTATGTAGTTGTGCCAGCCCTAATCACAATTAGATATGTATTTGTTTTTCTTGCATACATTATGTTCATGCACGTATCGTTTGTTTCTCGTCACTACAAGGTGGCACTGCAGACTTGTATTTTGTGTCTGTGGGGACATACCAATGTCTTTGGGGACAGTGCCTCAAGCGTCAAGAAAATGTATGCTGTCTTTTAACATGTGCACTTGTTTTCACACTAACCCCGACTGTTGTCTATACCCCCAGACTGTAGCCTCCTCTATTGCTAGAACTCGATACAGCTGGGGCAATGTGTATGCAATAGAAGAAAACACTTGATAATGAATTTCCTATCTTGACTCTTTCCATACATTCAGATGGCCCATCTCTGTCTACTAGCAGTGAGGCTCGAACATGCTCCGCAGAGCCAGCTAGAGGTGCTAGGTGCTTTAAGAAGCCTGCAGCCAACTTGAAGACTGTACCAGCAAAGAAACTGATCCCTGGTGAGTTAGTGCTCTACTCTACACAACAGAGAACCATGGCAACATTCCAATTCTCTATCCTCCCCCTCATGGATTCAAAAGAAATATGGCGGAAACACCCTCCAGCCATGCTTGCACGAATCCAATGCTTTTAACACTAGCATCGCCGGGCCTCAGCACGTACTAGTGGCCGCCGATGCGTGCCTTTGGAACATCTACATTTTAAACAGTCTAATAAATCCATGTAATATACACTATCACAAATAAATCCTTTATTTTGTTGAGATGGGTCTTAAGAAACATTACGATACAAAAAAAATATTTAAAAGAAACAGAATAGCATATTTTGAGTTTAACCCCTAGAGTTGTCCTCCCCCGCTAAAATGAAATTAGCATAATAACAATTACAAAAGATCTGCCAGTTTAAGCTAGTGATATCTGTTTTATGCATTGATGCGTCTCAATCCAACTCATCCGCCGATGTCGCAATTCTGCATCTGCGGCGAAAGGTTGACAGCGAGAGCGGTGTTTGTCAGACCGTGAGACATCCCGAAAAAATAGGTCTTCTCACAAAATCGTCTGTAGTGTCCGAACGGTTTGGCCTACAAAACTATACTATACCTCACGAATGCGATGTTGTTCTACAACCCCACAAGCGTCTTGGGACTCGTCTGAAGTCTGTACAGCTGATCTGCCAACTTCTGTCTGTAGCGTCCAAACAGTTTGGGCTACACACTAATATGACCCCTTTGTTGAAAGTTGAGACTCTCACGAACACGTACATGTGAGGCCTGTGGGCGTCCTAGAGCAAAACAAGACTTCTCTGATGGTCCCCCGGTACCAGTTGAAAAAATGAATGGAAGTGTATATACAGTGCATTCTGAAAGTATACAGCCTTATTCTAAAATGTATTAAATAGTTTTTTTCCACATCAATCTACTCAAAATACCCCATAATGCCAAAGCAAAAACAGGTTTTTAGAGCTTTGTTGAAGCACCTATAGCAGCAATTTAAAGCTTTGAGTCTTCTTGGGTATGACGCTACAAGCTTGGCAAACCTGTATTTGGGGAGTTTCTCCCATTCTTCTCTGCAGATCCTCTCAAGCTCTTGTCAGGTTGGATGGGGAGCATCGCTGCACAGCTATTTTCAGGTCTCTCCAGAGATGTTCGATTGTGTTCAAGTCCGGGCTCTGGCTGGGCCATTCAAGGACATTCAGAGACTTGTCCTGAAGCCACTCCTGCGTTGTCTTGGCTATGTGCTTAGGGTCATTGTCCTGTTGGAAGGTGAACCTTCGCTCCAGTCTGAGGTCCTGAGCACTCTGGAGAAGGTTTTCATCAAGGTTCTCTCTGTACTTTTCACCGTTCATCTTTCCCTCGATCCTGACTATTCTCCCAGTCCCTGCCGCTGAAAAACATCCCTACAGCATATTGCTGCCACCACCATGCTTCACCGTAGGGATGGTGCCAGGTTTCCTTCAGACGTGACGCTTGGCATTCAGGCCAAAGAGTTCAATCTTGGTTTCATCAGACCAGAGAATCTTGTTTCTCATGGTCTCCGAGTCCTTTGTGTCTTTTGGCAAACTCCAAGCGCGCGCTGTCATGTGCCTTTTTACTGAGTGGCTTCCGTCTGGCCACTCTACCATAAAGGGCTGATTGGTGGAGTGCTGCAGCAATGGTTGTTCTTCTGGAAGGTTCTCCCATCTCAATAGAGGAACTCTGGAGCTTTGTCAGAGTGACCATCGGGCCCTTCACCCCCGATTGCTCAGTTTGGCCGGGTGGCCTGCTCTTGGTGGTTCAAAACTTCTTCCATTTAAAAATGATGAAGGCCAATGTGTTCTTGGGGACCTTCAGTGCTGCAAACATTGCAGTGACACATCCATAACCTGAGCGGAAACCAGATAGCATACCAGAGAGAATACTACAGACATCAAGAAAGCCAGTCAGTTGATTATTGACAAGTTTTTCCAACACTTTTGATAAACAGGGCAAAATAGAAATTGGCCTATAACAGTTAGGATCAGCTTGATCTCCCCCTTTAAATAAAGGACGCACCGTGGCTGCCTTCCAAGCAATGGGAACCCCCCCAGAGAGGAGAGACAGGTTAAAAAGGTCAGCTAAGCTCGACGCTGATAGGGGCTACAACCTTAAAGAAGAAAGGATCTAAACCATCTGACCCAGATGTTTTTTTGGGGTGAAGTTTAAGGAGCTCCTTCAGCACCTCAGACTCAGTGACCGCCTGCAGGGAGAAACTTTGTAGCGGGGCAGGGGAAAAAGAGGAAGGAGCATCGGGGCTAGACCCATTAGAATGGCTGGAAGATGAGGAAATGTTGGACGGGCAAGGAGGCATGGCTGAGTCAAATAGGAATCCTGACTTAATGAAGTGGTGATTAAAGAGCTCAGCCATGCGTTCCTTGTCAGTAACAACCACATCAACATTAAGGGCCATGGGCAGCTGTGAGGAGGAGGGTTCTCCAGGTCTTTAACCGTTTTCCAGAACTTCTTGGGGTTAGACCCACAGAGTGAGAACTGCTCCATAAAGTAACTAACTTTAGCCTTCCGGATAGCCTGAGTGCACTTATTTCTCATTTGCCTGAACGAGAGCCAGTCAGCCTGAGTATGCATGTGCCGAGCCTTTCGCCAAATGGAATTCTTGAGGTGGAGTAACTCTGCCAGAACACGGTCAAACCAGGGGCTGAATCTGTTTTTTAATTGTCATTTGGTTTATGTGGTTGTGTTTGTTAACAATACCACTGAAAATATCAAAAAAGGTCCAAGCGTCTTCAACAGAGGGGATCAAGCTGATTCTATACCAATTTACAGAGGCTAGGTCATGAAGGAAGGCTTGCTCATTAAAAAATTTTAGCAAGCGCCTATGACAAATCAGGACAGGTTGTTTAACTGAGCAGCCATTACGAACACAGGCTGTAAAACAGTGATCACTAAGGTCATTACAGAAAACACCAGACTGATACTTATCAGGATTATTTGTGAGGATAACTTCAAGGAGAGTAGCCTTTTCTTGGTGTTTGGAGTCATACCTTGTGGGATTGGTAATAATCTGAGAAAGATTTAGGGAGTCCCATTGCTTTAGGACTTGATCAGGTGGTTTAAGCATGTCCCAGTTTAGGTCCCCTAGCAGGATAGGCTGTGGTGTCATGCAAGGCTCTTTGTCAATTGTTGTCTCCTCACCTCTCCATCAGCACTGATCTGAAAGAACTGACCAGTTGAAAAGCAGCCTAATTATGATCCTTCACCATATTGTTTTTATCCAGTGCAGATGAAGGGAAGAAAACGAGGAGAGGACATATTTTTTTTAAATAAAATGTTCTGAAAATGGAGATATCATAGAACACCAAAAAGTAAACATTGCTGGTGACACCTTGCCATTTATGATAGCGTCACGTTGGCTAGCAAAAGATTTGCGGGGGCTAATTAACGTTAGCTAAGTGAAATTGTTTTTCCCCACAGTTAGCCAAGATGATTAGCTAATCAGCTAAAATGGTTAACAGTTAGCAATCACATCTACACTATTTTGCTAGATACAGTAGCGCAGCCGTGTCAATAACATGTCTCCAAAAATGACGTGGTGTCTCCAGTTGTTTACATTTAGCAAATGTGACGCACCTTCCATATTCACTTTCCATGCACTTTTATTGAGAGAGCTCATTTGAAACACATTGGTTGTTGGGTTTTAGCTTGTCCCCTGTTGGTACTGGTCCCTCAGTGTCACTCTACCTGTCTTAAACCACAGATGGGAAGACTAGGTTTATTCCCAAAAAGACATCAATGCACTTTGTAACCACTAGTCAAGTAGTCACAGAATGATCAATCCTTCTTGATTTTCATGCAGGGTGTGCAAACTGTGTGCTACTTCAGCAAGAACTGGAGACGTGTCGTCAAGAAAATGAGAGACTGCAAACAGGTATTATTCAAATTGAACATTTCTGTCATGTTTTTTTGGGGGGGGTACTGCCAAAAGTTGAATGGCCCGGTTACCGCCATATATGGTCAGCATGGCGTGAAATGGAACTGTTAAATTATATATGCAATGTCTAAATATGGCTTCTCTACGGCCTCAGCATGATGAATCAACGCTCAGGGTGGGGACAAACAGCCCATCTCAGTATGGAGCACAGTTCATCATGGGAAGAGTTTTAAACAGGCCATCACTCGATTATCGTTGCTTTAAATCAGTGCACGCGCAAGCACTCTCTCGCAGTCTCCATCAACTCCATTCAAATTGCATCCAAAATAGATAATCCTGTTCTAGATTGATATACAGTGCATTCGCAAAGTATTCAGACCCCATGACTTTTTCCACATTTTGTTACAGTACAGCCTTATTCTGAAATGGATTCAATAGTTTTTTTCCTCGTCAGCTTCCCACACAATACCCCATAATGATAAAGCAATACTAGGTTTTTTGAATTTTTAGCAAATTTTATTTGAAATATCACATCTACATATGTATTCAGACCCTTTTACTCAGTACATTGTTGAAGCACCTTTGGCAGTGATTACAGCCTTGAGTCTTCTTGGGTATGACGCTACAAGCTTGGCACACCTGTATTTGGGGAGATTCTTCTCTGCAGATCTAAATTCCCCCCAGCCTTCAGATGTGAGCTAAACAGTGCACTTGCACTTGAGATGCGTTTTAAGGCTATGGATGCAAAAGTGAATTTATCATTTCCAAACGTTTAGGCCAGCTGCTTTGCGATCTATTAACAGCAAGGGTTACATTATACAGTGAGGGGAAAAAAGTATTTGATCCCCTGCTGATTTTTGTTTGCCCACTGACAAAGACATGATCAGTCTATAATTTTAATGGTAGGTTTATTTGAACAGTGAGAGACAGAATAACAACAAAAACATCCAGAAAAACACATGTCAAAAATGTTATAAATTGATTTGAATTTTAATGAGGGAAATAAGTATTTGACCCCTCTGCAAAACATGACTTAATACTTGGTGGCAAAACCCTTTTTGGCAATCACAGAGGTCAGATGTTTCTTGTAGTTGGCCACCAGGTTTGCACACATCTCAGGAGGGATTTTGTTCCACTCCTCTTTGCAGATCTTCTCCAAGTCATTAAAGTTTCGAGGCTGACGTTTGGCAACTCGAACCTTCAGCTCCCTCCACAGATTTTCTATGGGATTAAGGTCTGGAGACTGGCTAGGCCACTCCAGGACCTTAATGTGCTTCTTCTTGAGCCACTCCTTTGTTGCCTTGGCCGTGTGTTTTGGGTCATTGTCATGCTGGAATACCCATCCACGACCCATTTTCAATGCCCTTGCTGAGGGAAGGAGGTTCTCACCCAAGATTTGACGGTACATGGCCCCGTCCATCGTCCCTTTGATGCGGTGAAGTTGTCCTGTCCCCTTAGCAGAAAAACACCCCCAAAGCATAATGTTTCCACCTCCATATTTGACGGTGGGGATGGTGTTCTTGGGGTCATAGGCAGCATTCCTCCTCCTCCAAACATGGCGAGTTGAGTTGATGCCAAAGAGTTCGATTTTGGTCTCATCTGACCACAACACTTTCACCCAGATGTTCATTGGCAAACTTCAGACGGGCCTGTAAATGTGCTTTCTTGAGCAGGGGGACCTTGCGGGCGCTGCAGGATTTCAGTCCTTCACGGCGTAGTGTGTTACCAATTGTTTTCTTAGTGACTATGGTCCCAGCTGCCTTGATCATTGACAAGATCCTCCCGTGTAGTTCTGGGCTGATTCCTCACCGTTCTCATGATCATTGCAACTCCACGAGGTGAGATCTTGCATGGAGCCCCAGGCCGAGGGAGATTGACAGTTCTTTTGTGTTTCTTCCATTTGGTTTTGTAGCCCATTCCAGCCTTGTATAGGTCTACAATCTTGTCTCTGACATCCTTGGAGAGATCTTTGGTCTTGGCCATGGTGGAGAGTTTGGAATCGATTGATTGATTGATTGATTGCTTCTGTGGACAGGTGTCTTTTATACAGGTAACAAGCTGAGATTAGGAGCACTCCCTTTAAGAGTGTGCTCCTAATCTCAGCTCGTTACCTGTATAAAAGACACCTGGGAGCCAGAAATCATTCTGATTTGAGAGGGGGTCAAATACGTATTTCCCTCATTAAAATGCAAATCAATTTATACAATTTTTGACATGCGTTTTTTGTTGTTGTTATTCGGTCTCTCACTGTTCAAATAAACCTACCATTAAAATTATAGACTGATCATTTCTTTGTCAGTGGGTAAACGTACAAAATCAGCAGGGGATCAAATACTTTTTTCCCTCTTTGTATAGGAACAATATTCTTTACTGATTCATTTGGCAATATTCATATGAACAAAAGTATTCACTGTGAAAGTTGATACATGTAGGCCCTTCATATATAGGCTATGCGTAGCACTTTGTTCAATTTATCGAATCCGTTATTGTTTTCTTGCTCAAACCGTGAGCAACACCTGTCAAACACGGGACTAGTTTTATCAGAGGACCTTGGAGTTCGCCAAAAAACAGTAGGTTATTCTGGCTGGAATTGCTACTCTCTTGCCATGTTCAAATTACTGACGCGGCAGATTCAGACGGGACTAAAATTACAGATATGGTGTTTTGTGCTTGTGCACATAATTACATTACCCGACCACCCCCAGTAAAACTAATCCTGTCCGAATAGGGTTTAAGGTAAGGGCTGTTTCCTCGTCTCTGCTGCTGCTGTCTCCGCCGCATTGTTCTCAATCCCAATATGCTGGTTAATTTTGATATTATGCACATAGCAACATAGGGAAAGGCGCCAATTCTACGGCGCGCTGAAGATTGTTTCAGAACCACGGACAGCGACCATATCCAACGCGGGAGAAAGCGCATGTTATAAAATAATATTATATTTATTAGCGTTAATAATATAACCATATACAATTTCATTATCACATGTCTTAGAGTGATGGACTGTGCCATCCCTGTGGCCTCCGCAATGGTTTAGTCCACTGAGACAGGCATGAATCAGACAGGTGTCTTGTGCACCATGAAAAAATAAATACATGTGCGACTGCTCCACTAAAGAAATCTTGGTCGACCAACAGCCTATTGACCAAACAATCGACCAGTCGACTAAATATGATCAGCCCTAGTTTAATTTAATTTATAATAGTCTTCATATCTCAAAATCAATGTCATGTGGTTAATCAAAATTCTATCTAAATGAAAATGATACAAATCTAAAAGTAACTGCTATTGCCTTTGCCAACTATGTAAAAATAGCCTACGTAAAGCCAACAAATAAAAACATTGCAGCCTGCAGGTAGAAAATATCCTGATAAAAATAAATATCCTATAAATCAAATTGGCTATGCATGGCCTGTCTGCAAGGAACTTTAAACATTGTACCAACTATTAAACTTGGTCAGGCCCGAAGCTCATTCTAGCAAACTTGCAACATTGTATAAAATATTCTGTCCACTCAGTTTCCTGCGCCAGTGAGCTCCAGACAGACACAGCTGTGGGCTATTTGCGCAAAGGCTATTTGCTCAATGGATAAAAAGTAAGAATGTAGGCCTTTTTTATGACGTTTCCACTGGATCAGAGCATGACATATTCCCCCCCCCCCCCCTTTCATGCTGATTGGTTATTGAAAGGGAGAGAGCTGGAAAGATTTTTCAAATAGGTTACTTTGAGGAACTATTGTCATTCTCAATGGATGTAAAAACAAACTGCGTTTTACTTGCTGTTTGAGGCAAAGAAAAAATTACTTTGAGAAGCTCCACAGTAATGGTGAGTTAAGACAATCAGAAATAGTATCACATCCCCAAATGGGCACATTTATAAGCCTACATTTGTGCGCATGCCAGGTAGCCTAGGCCTAGTTCTATGTGTAATCAGGTGCGTGTCCTTGCTCAAGATTGACAGGAGCTCTCCAAACAAAAGACAATGAATAAATTGACAACTCGTAAATGGAATGAAATAAACACTTGATTCTCACAAATGTAGCCTAGGTTGGGCTTAAACAGTGTGTCCACTCCTACAATGACAACTGTAAGACTGTAATAATATGATTGAATGCGTTAACAGAAATGACCGTAACCAAACAAACATTGTAGATGAGAAATTATGGGAATTAACGATAAATGTACTACTGGTGATACTGGTGTGACATCCCCTAGGCCTCCGCAATGGATTAGTCCACTCAGACAGTCGTGAATCAGACGGGTGTCTCGTGTGGCGTAACATTTTGTAAAAAATATTTGCAACTGCTCTACTAAAAAAAATATTGGTCGACCAACAGACTATCGACCAAACAATCGACCAGTCGACTAAATGGGGTCTGCCCTAAATGAAAGTAATCCGTTGCCGGATGAATGACAACGGAAATGATTGTCTGTCAAACGAAAACCACAATGTGTACGCCTTTTGTATGCAACTCGAGTAAGGGTACAGCCACACTGAGACACATGAACACAGATGAAATTGTATATGACGTACAAAACGGTCAGTTTTTGTCCATCAAAAGTACAACTCAAATCAACTGTTTTCAGACGAGTTCATCAAAAAGTTGCACCCATCAAAAGACGGACCGTTTGTGATTTTTTTATTTAATTTTTTTGTTGGGGGGGGGGGCAGACAATCATCTCCGTTGTCATTCATCCAGGAACAGATGACTCCCATTGAAAAAGCATTTGCTCCATCCGAAATACTTGGACACGAAATCCCAATAAATCTATGACGGACAATGATGTACATCATATATATACGATTTTAATCCGTGTTCATGTGTCTCAGTGTGGACATACCCTTAGAGGTAAACCAATACAAATCTGGATTCTCAAACAGATTATTTGGAACTAAAATTGCTAACTAGTATGTCCTCCTCCAGACTAAATGGAATTGTAGTCCTGCAAGTCAGGATGTGGAGCAAGTGTTTTGATGTCACATTGCTAATGGCTATAAATTGTATTGAAGTCCCCTTTCAGGTAATTTAATCTAACTTTTTCAATTTTGACTGAAATTTCTTCCAGAGCTACGTAATCGTGACGGGATGGATTTGTAAACGAAGACACAAATGGAATGGATTGGATTGCACAGATGCATGGAATAAGTAACTGATTTTAATATGAAAAATTGTGGAGATAATTTTTGGTTAAGATTTAATAAAGTTTTGATATGCCTATTGGTTGTTTTTCTTTTAGATTTAGAAGAGGACATACACTGAGTATACCAAACATTAGGAACACCTTCCTAATATTGAGTTGCGGGGTATGGACTCTACAAGGTGTCGAAAGCTTTTCACAGGGATGCTGGCCCATGTTAACTCCAATGCTTCCCACAGTTGTCAAGTTGGCTGGATGTCCTTTGGGTGGTGGACCATTGTTTATACACATGGGAAACTGTTGAGCGTGAAAAATCCAGCAGCATTGCCGTTCTTGACACAAACCGGTGCACCTGGCCTCCCGAGTGGCGCAGCGGTCTAAGGCACTGCATCGCAGTGCTTGAGATGTTAGATCCCAGGCTGGGTCACATGAGGTGACCGGGAGACCCATGAGGTGGCGCACAATTGGCCCAGCGTTGTCCGGGTTAGGGGAGGGTTTGGCCGACCGGGATTTCCTTGTCCCATCGCGCTCTAGCGACTCATTGTGGTGGGCCGGGCGCCTGCAAGCTGACTTCTGTCGCCAGCTGGACGGTGTTTCCTCCGACACATTGGTGCGACTGGCTTCCGGGTTAAGCGAGCAGTGTGTCAAGAAGCAGTGCGGCTTGGCAGGGTCGTGTTTCGAGGACGCATGGCTCTTGACCTTCACCTCTCCCGAGTCTGTAGGAGAGTTACAGCGATGGACAAGACTGTAACTAGCAATTGGATATCACGAAATTGGGACGAAAAAGGGGTAAAAGTAAAGAATTACAATTAAACGGTGCACCTGGCACCTACTACCATACACTGTTAAAAGGCACTTAAATATTTTTTCTTGCCCATTCACCCTCTGAATAGCACACATACACAATCCATGTCTCAAGGTTTAAAAATCCTTCTTTAACCTGTCTTCTCCCCTTCATCTACACTGATTTTAAAGTGGATTTAACAAGTGACATCAATAAGGGATCATAGCTTTCACCTGGTCACTCTGTCGTGGAAAGAGCAGGTGCCCTTAATGTTTTGTACACTCAGTGCCGATTTCACAGACACAGATAAAGCCTTGTCCTGGACTAAAAGTGATTTCAGTGGAGAATGTCCATTGCGAATGCTTGTTAGTCCAGGACGAGGTTTAATATGTGTCTGCGAAACGGTCCCATAGTGTACACAGTAAGTGTTTTTCTAGTAAATACATTAATCGAGGTTCAGCTCCATGGACAGCATCTAGCCAGTTTGAACTATTGATTACCCCCAAACTGGACCACCAGTGGTTATTAGCAAGATGTGATGATTTATATAACAAGTAGCTTATGAAGATACTGGTCCCGTTCCAGGCTGATTTATATTGCAGTCCTGCCGCATGCAGCAACCAAAGGTTGCATGCAACGTCGTGAATGTACACAGTCAGGCATGAGATTGCTATATCATATGATGTGGTTAGCTAATATGTAAACCCCTATCCAGGTGTTGTGATATCTGGACGGAGACTGCAATGTAGAGGCCATGATATACCTCTTGGTACTAACACTAAAATAAGTGGAAAATTTCAGGGCCTATAAACTATGCACGGTTGAATAGTCTACCAGGGTCTGGAATACTGTTGGGAGGAATGCACCTCTCATGTGGAAGTCAATTAATCTCATAGCTTTTTGATTGAGTCATGTTTGCATACTTATTGACCTTTTTTTGTCCACTACCTGTAGGTCATAGACTACAATGTAGTGAGGACTGGTTGAGTTATGATAATGCAATGGAGTCTACAAAAGGAAGATGGAGATGTAATCAGTGGCTGTTCCCAAATTGCTCCCTACCCCTCAGCTCTGTAACCCTTTGTTGCTGCAGATCTGTAAGGTGTAAAACAATATGGTATACAGATCTGCAAGTGACTTGAATTGGGGAACGATTTTGGGACCAGTGTGTGTTCGAGAGCATCTAGATTATCCTACATGGTGATGGTGTCCAGTTCGTGATTAACCAATAGTTTAAATTGGTTATATGCTGTCCACGGTTCTGAATCCTAGAATTGCTATATTGCAGGTAAAGAATTATGTAATCTACACATGCATAGGGGGGTAGCGGACTATTTTGAAATGGGCATCCAAGATCCAACTGAGTTCACCACAGAGGCCTACACTTAATTATTTGGGGACTTTTGGGTTAGCAAGATCTTGACTGAGCAAGAGCATTGTCGTAGAATAGATAACAGCATATATTCCTACGGAATTGTCCAAATGAAATCCATGAATGAGTTCAATATTTAGAATGTATTATACTGGGGTATTAATTTCCACAATCATGCCATTTTTAAACCAATACTGGTGTCTCAACTCATGAAGAGCAACATTTACTCTGCCATTTTCACTTGTACCAATGACCACCTGAAATAGGATGGTCACAAGTTACCACAGCCACAAAGTCAAAGTGTCCGCCTACTCAACCAATCAGATTATGGAGTGTGATGACATGCATGCCGACCGGCTTGCAGGGGTTGATAAGACATGCATTTATTTTAAGTGATCCATCAATTATTTGGTTATTTATTAGCTAAAACCAAACGTATTAATTGCAAAGTGGTAATCTGATGTCTTATTCAAACAACATAAAGTTTGCCCTTACTCATACTGTAGTTACTTGTCTTAACCCAAAATAGGTTTTCTCCAATAGCTGCATTGTTTTTTAAATGGCATGTAGACAAACCAACTGAGGTCTTGATTTTATATTTTTATTTTCAAAATCCACAATGAAAGTGTACAAAGATTTTTGGCTGATTCCAGATAACTTCAGCCCTGTTCATTTATTTGGCACTTACTATAGTTATTTAATTTATTTAACATCTTGAGTTGAGAACATGTTTTTATTAAGTTGAACTCTTTATGACAGAATGTTAAAATTAGGTGAAATAAAAGTTAAACTACTCAAAAGGTACTCCATTGGTGAAATGAACCACGCACACTGTCCTCCCTCCTTCTGCCCTAGACTCCCTGCAAACAAGGTATCTCACGCCACACTCGGTTTGGCAAACAGTTTTTCGCATGTCCTCTGCATGCTTTCTACCCTGCCTGTGAAAGGGTGTGATGCTCTTTTGGTAAATTGGTATAGAATCAGCTTGATCCCCTCTGTTGAAGACGCTTGGACCTTCTTTTTTTATATTTTCAGTGGTATTGTTAACAAACACAACCCCATAAACAAAATGAGAATTAAATACAGGTTCAGCCCCTGGTTTGACCGTGATCTGGCAGAGTTACTCCACCTCAAGAATTCCATTTGGTGAAAGGCTCGGCACATGCATACTCAGGCTGACTGGCTCTCGTTCAGGCAAATGAGAAATAAGTACACTCAGGCTATCCGGAAGGCTAAAGTTAGTTACTTTATGGAGCAGTTCTCGCTCTGTGGGTCTAACCCCAAGAAGTTTTGGAAAACGGTTAAAGACCTGGAGAACCCTCCTCCTCACAGCTGCCCATGGCCCTTAATGTTGATGATGTGGTTGTTACTGACAAAAGGAGCGCATGGCTGAGCTCTTTAATCACCACTTCATTAAGTCAGGATTCCTATTTGACTCAGCCATGCCTCCTTGCTCGTCCAACATTTCCTCATCTTCCAGCCATTCTAATGCGACTAGCCCCGATGCTCCTTCCTCTTTTTCCCCTGCACCGCTACAAAGTTTCTCCCTGCAGGCGGTCACTGAGTCTGAGGTGCTGAAGGAGCTCCTTAAACTTCACCCCAAAAAAACATCTGGGTCAGATGGTTTAGATCCTTTCTTCTTTAAGGTTGCAGCCCCTATCATCGCCGAGCTTATCTGACCTTTTTAACCTCTCTCCTCTCTGGGGAGGTTCCCATTGCTTGGAAGGCAGCCACGGTGCGTCCTTTATTTAAAGGGAGAGATCAAGCTGATCCTAACTGTTATAGGCCAATTTCTATTTTGCCCTGTTTATCAAAAGTGTTGGAAAAACTTGTCAATAATCAACTGACTGGCTTTCTTGATGTCTGTAGTAGTCTCTCTGGTATGCAATCTGGTTTCCGCTCAGGTTATGGATGTGTCACTGCAACCTTAAAGGTCCTAAATGTCATCACCATTTCCCTTGATTCTAAGTAATGTAGTGCTGCTATATTTATTGACTTGGCCAAAGCTTTTGATACTGTAGACCATTCCATTCTTGTGGGCTGGCTAAGGAGTATTGGTGTCTCTGAGGGCTCATTGGCCTGGTTTGCTAACTACCTGTCTCAAAGAGTGCAGTGTATAAAGTCAGAACATCTGCTGTCTCAGCCACTGCCTGTCACCAAGGGAGTACCCCAAGGCTCAATCCTAGGCTCCACGCTTTTCTCAATTTACATCAACAACATAGCTCAGGCAGTAGAAAGCTCTCTCATCCATTTATATGCAGATACAGTCTTATACTCAGCTGGCCCCTCCCCAGATTTTGTGTTAAACGCTCTACATCAAAGCTTTCTTAGTGTCCAACAAGCTTTCTCTGCCCTTAACCTTGTTCTGAACACCTCCAAAACAAAGGTCATGTGGTTTGGTAAAAAGAATGACCCTCTCCCCACCGGTGTGATTACTACCTCCTGAGGGTTTAGAGCTTGAGGTAGTCACCTCATACAGGTACTTGGGAGTATGGCTAGACGGTACACTGTCCTTCTCTCAGCACATATCCAAGCTGCAGGCTAAGGTTAAATCTAGACTTGGTTTCCTCTATCGTAATCACTGCTCTTTCACCCCAGCTGCTAAATGAACCCTGATTCAGATGACCATCCTACCCATGCTAGATTACGGAGACGTAATTTATAGATCGGCAGGTAAGGTTGCTCTCGAGCTGCTAGATGTTCTTTACCCTTCGGCCATTAGATTTGCCACCAATGCCCCTTTTATAGGACACATCACTGCACCCTATACTGCTCTGTAAACTGGTAATCTCTGTATATATGTTGCAAGACACACTGGTTGATGCTTATTTATAAAACCCTCTTAGGCCTCACTCCCCCCTATCTGAGATACCTACTGCAGCC